TCTTTGACTGGCATAATAAAGAAGGTCCCAAAAGTGGGAGAGGTGATGCCAATGGTTGGCTCAGCTTTGTAGTTTAAGGCTTCCATTATTTCATCAGTCCTTTCATTCTCTGCTACAGACAACTGATGGTTTCTCAAACTAACATCCAATGCTTGATGCACTTGGCTTCAAGACAGTGCCCTCACTTAGCCTTCCAACTAGGTTGGCCCCTGCTCTCTCTCCAAAGCCCTCCTTTATCAGATTTCTGTAACTCTCACTGCTGACCACAAGAGAACGTTCATCTGTGAGACTGGGAAGAACCAACTATGTGTGTTCTTTTAAAAAAAAATTTATTTAAATTCAATTTGCCAACATATAGTATGACACCCTGTGCTCATCTCATCATGTGCCCTCCATAATGCCCGTCACCCAATCCCCCCACCTGCTATGTGTGTTCTTAACACAGACATGCCATGTGCAGAGTCAAAAAGCCTGAAGAAGGGACACCTGGGTGGCTCACCAGTTGAGCCTCTGCCTCTGGCCCAGGGCATGATCCTGGAGTCCCAGGATCGAGTCCCACATTGGGCTCCCTGCATGGAGCCTGCTTCTCTCTCTGCCTGTGTCTCTGCCTCTCTGTGTGTGTGTCTCTCGTGAGCAAATAAATAAAATCTTAAAAGAAAAGAAAAGAAAAAAGAAAGAAAAGAAAAGAAAGGAAAAAAGAAAAGAAAAGAAAAGAAAAGAAAAAGCATGAAGAACTTTCTATCCATGCTGGGCTTCATGCCCTGTTGCTGTTCTCCAGCGTGCAGATGCTGGAACAGTTCTTCCCACACTTCTAGACTTGCATGTCACCTTGATGACTTTTTGGTATATCCACAGGCCACCTGCGTTTACCTCATGCTTTTCTTTATATGACTCATTATTTTTTACCTAAAAACTTGCTTACGTTTTGTCCTGAGCAATAATATTCAAGTAACAACAGGCTTGATGAGTGATGTGTGCATGTGTATTTCAAAAGCATGTTTTTAAAAGTTCATAGTTATTAATATTTTCAAAACGTTAGTTGGTTTTCCCCTCCTGTGTGTTTCTCCTTTACTTTTACACAAAATGCTTTACTTCTGACACTTGTGGTCACCAAATGTGTGGGGTTTTTTCCCTACACCAAGCAATTCTTTATGACACCAGCTGGATATTCTACAATTTAACCCCATTACACACAACTTCTGCCCAACATGGCTACAAATCAGAGGTTTCCCCCAGTTTCCATCAATTTGCTTAGAGTGGCTCACAGAACTCAGGAAGACACTTATGTTCACCTGTGTATTTTTTTTTTAATTTTTATTTATTTATGATAGTCACATAGAATGAGAGAGAGAGAGGCAGAGACACAGACAGAGGGAGAAGCAGGCTCCATGCACCGGGAGCCCGACGTGGGACTCGATCCCGGGTCTCCAGGATCGGGCCCTGGGCCAAAGGCAGGCGCCAAACCGCTGCGCCACCCAGGGATCCCTGTTCACCAGTGTATTAAAGGATATAACTAAGAATAGACATGAACATCCAGCTGAAGACACACATAGGGCAAGGTCTGGGAGGGTCCCCAGCACAGGAGCTTCTGTCTTGGTGGAGTTGAAGTACATCACTCTCTAATTACATGGATGTGTTCACTGACCTAGAAGCTCTCTGAACCCCATGCTATTAGGATTTTGTGGAGGCTTAATCATGTAGGCATGAAAGATCATTAACTCCATTTTTAGACTTTCTCCCTTCTCAAGGGAATGAGGGAGGAGTGGAAAAGTCCAAGTTTCTAATCATGGCTGGGTCTTTCTGGTGACCACCTCCCATCTAGGAGTCACCTGGGAACCCACCCAGAGTTATCTTTTTAAAACAAGAGATACTCCTAGTACTCTTATCGCTTAAGAAATTGCCAGAATTTTAAAAGCTCTGTGCCAGGGACAGGGGGCAGAGACCAATATATACATTTTCTATTATCTCACAGTGTACTACCCCAAAAAATTCACATATATTGTAAGATTAAAAATGTCCTGTTCTAGATAGGAACTCGTCAGGCTTATCCTATTTTATCTTGAGCATGAAGTAATCTTTGGGTACATAATTATTTATTTGTTCATTTTTTTATCGGAGGTGCATAATTTTTATCACAGAATAAAATTCCTTGCTATGAACACATCATGACTTATTTAATAATCTTTCTAGTTCTAATATACACTATAAGTAATGCTTTGATGAAAATTCTTGCATTTAATTCTTGGTGCTCATTTATAATTATTTTCATATAATAATTTTCTAAACAATGAAAGTTGTATGGTTCTTGCTGTTTTTGTTTTGTTTTCTTGAATTGCTCCCAGGAAAGGTTTCATAGATTTACACTTGCACCAGCACTGACTGAAATGCTTGTTTCACAGCTCCCTCCCTGACATTGAGTATTATCATTTTTTTCTAGCCTTGCTAATTTAATTAACATGTATCAGGCATTTTTTACAGACTTATCTCATTTCATCTTCACTACAACCCTATGAAATATCCATTTGGTAGTCTGTACTCTTTAGCAGGTGGGGGAAACAAGACCCCTAGAGGTTAGGTTCTTACCCAAGCCAGTAAATTATTAATTAGACCAGGAAAAGTCTGTTAATCATTAACTTGCTGACTGTGGCTTTTCACCTATACCACTCTGCCTCCTGCTGGTGTCCAGAGGGAGGGCAGGAAGCACTGAAGTTCCTCAATAGCAGAATCCTAAATCAGAGTTGGGGTATTTGTGGTCAGTAAAGAAGAGAGTGATGTTGGGACAACCATATGATGGTGGGACTTTGAAAAATGAGGAGAAAACTCAACAAGCTTTACACTTAATATTTATGCATTTTATGTAAAGTTACACCTTAATTTTAAAAAAAAGGCAAAATGAGGAAGAAACTTTTCAGATACTAGATGAGTTAATAAAAACAGCTTATAATTACTGAGCCCATACAACAAGCCAAGTCCACCATGAAGGACATTAGAAATAGTAACTCACTTAATGTTCATACAATCCCCATGAGGCCCCTCTGTTATTTGTGATTGACAGATAAGATGGTTCAGTAATTTTTACTTATTTATTTCCTTATTTGAGAGAGCAAGCACTGGAGTGGGGGAAGAGCAGAGGGAGAGGGACAAGCAGACTTCACAGTGAGCTTGGAGCCGCATGCGGGTCTTGGTCCCACCACCCTCAAATCATGCATGACCTGAGCCAAAGTCAAGAGTCAGATGCTCAACTGACTTAACCACACAGGCGCCCTGATGGTTGAGTAATTTTAACTCAAGCTTACATGGCTAACAAGTGGAGGAGTCAGAATGTGAGGCAGGTAATTTGGCTCCTGGTTTATGCAGGCAGGCTGGGATGGCAAAGCAGCCAAAATCACCAAAGATCTGTCAAACTGAGAGGCCTCATTCTATTCTGAAATGTCCACAACATAGAGATTTTGAAAGACCAGGATATTATACAGATCAGGTCTATGTCGAATTCAAGGGTCTAGCTTATGATTTCACAACCTCAGAGATGCTGCCACTTGCCCTCCTGAGTTGTTCTGGAGTAGTCTCATACTGAGTCTTTGCTGGTTCTAATCCAATGGGGGAGGAAGAAGACCCTTCTAAGTTCAACCAGATAGTTCTTGGGCCTCGCAGAGAGGGGGCACACCACTCACCACAACGGAGATTCTTTTTTTGGTCCAGGTACTAGGTGGTGAATTCCAAAAGCATCAAAGACACCTGTAAGTGACTCACATCCTGTGTCCCCACTTCCTTCCTACACTGACTCCAGGTCCACTCAGCCCTCTGAATGTTTATTCTCCCGCCTGCAAAAGATATGGACAATGATGTGCTCAATGAAAGAATGGGGAATGGATTTTCCAAGGTCTATGTGGCAAACCATCACAGAAATGCAAAAAGAAGGAAGGAAGGAAGGAAAAAGGGGGGGGGGACAAGAAAAAAAAAGAAAAAAGTAAGGTTCAGGAATGTGTCCAGCAAGGTGAGGGCTGAAAGTAGATTTCTTTTTTTTTTTTTTTTTTGAAAGTAGATTTCGAACTGAAGTTGGACAAGAAGAGAACCTGGAAAAGGAGCAAGGGACCATGACTTTTTTTTTTTTTTTTTTGAAGTCCTGTCCAGGCTCATCTACAAAGACAGAAAGGGAGAAAAGAACTCAGGAAAAGGATCCTGTGCGGTCATAAAATTATGTAGTCAGTTGTTCTGCATCCAGAAAATCATAACGCGAATACATAAGAAATGGGAGGCAGTCTCAAGAATGTTCCTATTTCAAAAAAAAAAAAAAAGAATGTTCCTAATTCAGTAAATATAGTTTGCCGGTGGTATGGTTTTTCGATGTGTATCAAAAGCCTTGCTCATGTCCCTGGTCAACTCCAACGTCAAGAAATATGTCAGGCCCTGGGCTAGGTTCCAGGATGTAGGGTGGACAAGCAGACAAAGGAGCTAACTCTAGATAATGTGTTTCAGGAATATGGAAATAGGAGATGCTAAGGAGGGAGCAACAGGGGCATTTAACCCAACCCAGAAAGTCAAGAAAGATTGAAATCCTCAAAAAAAAAAAAGAAAAAAAAAAAAGAAATCCTCTTAAATGACTTGGGACTTGGAATAGAATGGACAAGATGGAGGCTCCAGGCCAATCGAGTAGCAGGTGAGAAGGAAATAACAGAAGTTGTGCATCTACGCACAAGTGAGCACAAAATATCGGTGGCAAATAGGCAACCTCTTCAGGCTTTAAATATCATGTTAAGGCATCTTGTTTAAAAGCAAAAGGGAACAGCCAAAGAGTAACAAGTGAAATATTTGGTGTGTGTTCTACTGCGTATCCATTGACTCACTAATTCCACTTTAAGGAAATGATCCTAAGGAAATAATTATATATCTGTGCAACTATACTGTTGTTGGACCCTGGCTCACGGGTGCCAACGTGGCCCGGTGGACGCCCCAGAGACTCAGACCCCAGACAGGCAGATGCAATTAGCAAGAGGGTTTATTGAACTTTTGCGCAAACGGGCTCTCCGACTCCGAGGAGGAAAAGAGCCCTGATTAGCAATTACAGGGATCTTGTAAAGGCAAAAGGAAAGAAACCGCCTAAAGGCAAAAGAACCGCAGGAGTCGCATAGCATCCAGGTTGATTTCACAGAGGGTCAACATGAACCTATTCAAGGACATTCCAATCAGGGTGTGGGGGGAAATGGTTTTCTTATTGTCAACAGAATGCTTTTAGTTGCTAAAATTTCAGGAAGGCGCCTGGATGGGCTGCCTCTGGGTTAGGGCTGGCCCTACTTACAAGGGGGGAGGTTTCTTCATTCCCTCCTCTTGTTTGGGCTGATTTTAACCTTAAAATCTTAGGGAACATTTATTTCTTCAGTTTGGAGGGCCCGACATTGCTGAGTTAATACCAGAGCTTGGGTAATAGACAATCTTTCTCGGATGAACTGGAGCAGCCGGTTGAGGACGCAGGGGCCGAAAGTTAGCAGCAGGAGCAGGATAACTAGAGGGCCCATAATGGTAGAGATTAGGGTGGTCAACCAGGGAGACTGATTAAACCAGCTTTCAAACCAGCCCTGCTGGGCCTCCCGGTCCCTTTGTCTTTTATTTAACCTTTCCCTGAGTTTGGCCATGGAGTCTGATGACTCCAGAATGGTCTGCATAGAAACAGCATTCCTCTCCCAGCGCCGCACACAGTCCTCCCTCTTTCAGGAATAGTCAATCCAAGCCTCTCCTGTTTTGAAGTGCTACTTCTGAAAGTGAGGTGAGGGACTGTTCTAGCTTAGAAACGGACTGCTCTAGTGTCCGTAGATCCTCATCTACAGCTGTTTGGAGTTCTAGATAACGCCGTGAGCCCTGGATCGGAGCAGCTGCGCCAGTACCCACCCCAGTAGCGACCCCTAGTCCCAACATAACGGCTAAGGTTAGGGAGACAGGTTCGTGCCGAAAACGGGTGGGATGTTTATCATACTGATTTTCTAGAGTTTCAGCAGGGTGATAGAACACCCTGGGTATGATCTGCACCATGACACAGAAGTCGTTTGAGCTATTTAGAACCTTAGCCGACACACAGGGGGTGAGGCCTTTGTTGCATGCCCACCAAGTTCCCGGCTGGGGCTCCAGGTAAGAATCAGTCCCCAAAATCGGGGTGGTAGTGTTGCAGAGTCTCTGGTAGCCCCGGGGGGGTGTTCCTATGCAGGTTCCCTGTCCTGTAACTTCTGTAAGGGTGAATTGTGGTTGGGAGTCGGGTGTGCATCCCTGGGTGCTAGTGATGTTATTATAGGTCCCTGAAGTAGCAATTCCCTCATAATAAGGGGGGGGGGGATGCAAGGCAGAGCCAGCAGGATTTAGTTACATCGGGGCTGGTTCGATTAGGGGCCAGGAATGCCCCTATGATAAGATTAAACAGTCGTTGTCCCGTCTCGGGTGACGACCGAGGGGTTGGAGTGACCGCGAAGTTAGTGGGTGTGGCGCTCCCTGCGGCTAGGGCCGGGGCAGCTCTTTGTTCCCCGAGGACCACGTTAGGCCCGATCGCCACGGGGTCTGGGGATTCTATTTTAGTTTAATTCCGAATATAAAACCATCATCTGTTCTTTCTTTGTATAACCTGAGTCCCCACGTATATCCATTGGCCCAGTAAGTAGCCCTTTTTCCGGGCTCCGTGAAGGATATCCATAGGGGATGACACCACCCTTGGCAGGGCCCATAATTAAGGGTTTTCCATTTGCTAAATGTCGGGTGAGTATAGTTAGCCTTGACAGTGATATAATCCCAGGAGGAGGAGGGCCTCCATTCTGTATCCCCCGTAGTTTCGCACCCCCAATTTTTACAATAGAAGTATTCCCCTCCTCCACAGGTGGGATTTAGCCTGCGATCTCTGTGGTGCCCGGGACAGACATAAAAGGGAAGAGGGCTTAGCATGGCCCTTCTATCAGGCGTGCCACATCCTCCCCATGGGTCTAATCCCAGTCGCCCTGGAGGGCTTTCTTGGTTAGGGGCTCTAGAGGTGTCGAAGTATCCCTCTAGGTCCCATGGGCTAGGGGCCCCTATGGTTAGCTTGCATAGGTCAGGATATAGGTTAGGCCACCAGGTTCCCACGGGGCGGTCTTAGTTATAGACCAGACCTCGTCACCCCCAGACGTTAGTACCTGCCAGGTTAACCTTTTGAGGGCATGAGGGTCACCTTTGGCGGAGGTGAAGAGCGCTAGGAGAGGTAGGAATATAACAACTGTCATTGAACAATTTTTGAAAGTCTTATCTTGAGCGGGTTTTGGGTGCGGTGGAGCTTCCATTGGAGTGGCTTGTCCGGTCCGTCCTGGCTGGCGTCAGCGGTGCTCGTTGATGGGGCGCGCTGGACGTGTGAGGCGTGGACCCAAGCAGCAATGCCGTCTACCTTTAAGGCGGTTGGGGTGGTCAGTAGGACAGTATATGGGCCCTTGCAGCGGGGCTCAAGCGTCCTGGACTGATGTCTCTTGACGTAGACGGAGTCACCGGTCTGGAACGGGTGTGGGCCGGTTGTGTCTCGGGGCGGTAGACAGCCGCAAGGGGTTTCCAGATCTGGTGCTGGATAATCTGGAGCGCCTTTAGCCTGTCCTGTAAACCGGGAGTGTTAGCAAGAGGGTCAAGAGCAGAATCTAGTAAGTCCGTTACTGGCGGGGGACCTCCATAGAGAACCTCGTAAGGAGTTAGCCCATGGCGCGCGGGAGTGTTCCGGACTCGGAACAGAACCATAGGGAGGAGTTGGACCCAGTCTCTAGTGCCAGTCTCCAATGTCAATTTAGTTAGGGTCTCTTTAATTGTTCTATTCATTCTTTCTACCTGACCTGAGCTCTGGGGTCTGTATGCACAATGTCATTTCCAATTTATCCCCAGTAATTTGGCCACCAACTGACTTACCTGGGAGACGAAGGCAGGGCCGTTGTCCGACACTATTACCTTGGGCAGTCCAAACAGCGGGAAAATTTCTTCCAGGATTTTCTTGACAACCACCTGGGCGGTTTCTCGCTTGGTGGGGAATGCTTCTGTCCAGCCTGAAAAGGTATCTATAAACACTAGGAGGTACTTGTTACCATATTTACCTGGCTTGATTTCGGTGAAGTCTACTTCCCAATTAGTTCCGGGTCTTTCTCCCCTCATCCTGGTTCCCTCAGGCATCTTGAGGTGTTTGGTATTTACCTTAGCACAAGGTACACAAGCGTCGGTTACCTGTTGGATCAGGGAGGGGAGTTTGGGAATGTAATAGGTCTGACCTTCTCTCCGGAGGAGTGCTTTTAATTTTTTTTTTTGTGTGTGTGTCCGAGGTGAGTCCATCGGTGGAGGTGAGTCACCAGTTCTTTGGCCCTTTTCTGGGGCAGGACCGTCTTCCCTTGGTGTTTCCAGATCTTCATTTGCTCGTCATATTTTGCCCCTATTTGCTGGACGATATCTAGGTCGCTGTCTGAGTACTCGAGAGAGAGTTGCCGGACAGCCTCTGGTACTTGTAGGGAGAGGGCCTGTGGGCCTAGTGCAGCGGCCCGTGCTGTCTCATCGGCCATCCTGTTCCCCTCTGCTACTGGGTCATTGCCTCGCTGATGCCCAGGACAGTGAATTATACTCAGTTTTCTTGGCAGAAAGAGGGAATGGAGAAGATCTTGTATTTCTTCTCTGTTTTTGATGTTTTTACCTGCTGAGGTTAGGAGACCCCTTCTACGGTATATTTCTCCATGAACATGGGCAGTTGCAAAAGCATATCTGCTGTCAGTATAAATGTTGGCCTTTTTGTCCTTAGCCTTTCTTAGGGCCTGAGTTAGGGCTATAAGCTCTACCCTTTGAGCTGAAGTCCCAGGCTCTAAGGCACTGGCCCAAATGACAGCTTTCCCATCTACCACGGCTGCCCCGGCTTTACGCTCACCATTTCGTAGAAAGCTACTCCCATCGGTGTACCAGGTTGCTTCAGCATCTGGCAAAGGCTGGTCCGTCAAGTCCCCTCTGGTGCCATGGACTTCAGCTAGGATCTGGTGGCAATCATGCATTACTAGGGAGGGGGACTCGGTTTCTGGAAGCAAGGTGGCCGGGTTTAGAGATGTAGCCGTTCCAAACTGTATCCACTCAGAATTCAGTAACATGGCCTGATAATGGGTGACCCGGGCGTTTGAGAGCCATCGATCAGGGGGCTGGCGGATGACTGTCTCTACGGCGTGGGGGGCCACCACAGTGAGGGGTTGGCCAAAAGTCAACTTGTCTGAGTCTTTTACCAGGACTGCCACAGCCGCTATTATTCGGAGACATGGGGGCCATCCTGCAGCCACGCTGTCTAATTTTTTTTGAAAAGTATGCCACGGGCCTTTTCCAGGGTCCCAGTTTTTGAGTTAGGACCCCTTTGGCTATTCCATTATGTTCATCAACATATAGCGTAAAAGGCTTGGTTACATCTGGGAGGTTCAGGGCAGGGGCGGTCAATAAGGCCCTTTTTATTTTGTCAAAAGCCAGTTGCTGCTCCTTTCCCCAGTGGTAGGGGGTGTTGGATTTCGTGAGAGGATATAGGGGAGCCGCCATCTCCGCAAACCCGGGTATCCAGAGGCGGCAGAACCCAGCACTGCCGAGGAACTCTCGTAGTCCTTTGGCATTAGTGGGTGCTGGGATCAGGGCTACAGCCTTTTTGCGGCTCTCCGTCAGCCACCTCTGGCCTCCTTCCAGGAGATATCCCAGATAGGTCACTTGTCTCTGGCCTATTTGGGCCTTTTTGGCGGAGGCCCTATACCCCAGTTCTCCCAGTCTCTCAAGCAGGGCCCCCGTACCTTTTACACAATCCTGTTCTGTCCTAGCCGCCAGGAGCAAATCATCCACGTACTGCAGGAGGACGAGGTCCGGATGGCCAACTCGGAAATCTGCCAAATCCCCATGCAAGGCTTCACGAACAAAGTGGGGGAATTTTTGAATCCCTGTGGCAGCCTTGTCCAAGTGAGTTGTCCTGAGAATCCCGTCTCAGGATCTTTCCATTCAAAGGCAAAAATAGGCTGGCTTTGAGAGCTTAACCTTAGGCGAAAGAATGCATCTTTTAGATCTAACACCGTATACCAGACATGGCTTGGGGGTAAGGTGCTGAGCAAGTTGTAGGGATTCGGCACCGTGGGATGTATGTCCTCTGTCCTCCAGTTAACCTCTCGTAAATCTTGTACCGGCCGGTAATCTCCTGTGCCGGGTTTTTTTTACGGGTAATAGAGGAGTATTCCAGGGCGACTGGCAAGGTATAAAAATGCCCAATTGTAATAGTCTCTGTATATGGGGCCGAATGCCTTCTTTGGCCTCTTTGCTCATTGAATATTGCCGGATCGATATGGGGGTGGCTGAGGGTTTTAAGTTTATAATTATGGGTGGCTGGTTTACAGCTAGTCCCATTCCGGCCGTTTCCACCCAGGCCTGAGGGTAGTTAGTGAGCCATTCAGAATCTAGGGGCTGCACGGACGTGGAGAGTCCTCGTGCAGCCGGTGTTCATCCTCTAGGCGCCAAGGTCAGTACCTGGAGGGGCTGCCCTTCTGCGCCAGTAATAGTGGCCCCTTTTTGCTGAAAATGTATCTGGGCCCCTACTTTTGAATGAAGGTCTCTGCCTAGGAGAGGGTAAGGGCAGTCTGGGACCACTAAGAAGGAATGCGTTACTTGCCCAGTGCTCAGGTGGACCTTCCGTTCGGTTGTCCATCGATATAACTTGCCTCCAGTTGCCCCCTGAACCCAAGACGTTTTAGAGCTCAAGGGTCCTTTTGCCTCAGTTAAAACTGAATGTTGAGCCCCCGTATCGACCAGGAAGGTCACCGGCTGTCCCCCCACTTTAAGGGTTATCCGAGGCTCGGGGGGGGGTTCATGGCCCTGACACCCCTAATCTTCATCTTCTAGGGACAAAACAGGAATGGGCTTCTTTTTAGGTCCCTGCGTTTGGCCCTTCCTTGGGCAATCTTTAACCCAATGTCCTTTTTCCTTGCAGTAGGCACACTGGTCTCGTTCAACCCGTGGTCCTCTTTTGTCTCCCAGGTCCCTACTCTGTCCTGACTTACTCTGCCCTGAGCCCTGTACTACGGTGGCCAGTATAGCCTTCTATTAACCTCTGCAGAAAACCTGCCGGCGTCTCATCTTTTCCCTGCCCTATAGCACATACCTTTGCCAAATTGGTGGGGCGACGCCCTGCCCCTTTGAGACCCGCTAGGAGTACCTGGCGATAGAGACGGAGCCGCTCCCTACCAGCAACAGTGTCGTAGTCCCAGGTCGGGCGAACCAAGGGGAAAACATCCTCAATTTCCTTAGGCAGCCGGGTCGCCTCCCATCCGCCCCCGGGACGTTTTTCCGAGCTTCGAGGTAGACGCGGTGTCGCTCCTCCGTGGTGAGGAGAGTCTGCAGGAGCTGTTGGCGGTCATCCCAGGTCGGCTGATCGAGGTGTCCATTGGGTCCTGGCTGGAAGACCAGGGCCTTCACCTGCAAGATGATGTCAATATTAAAAGCTCCGTTCCTGGGCCACCCGTTGAAAGCGGCCACTCCGAGGAGCAGAAGGTGACCCATCTTCGTCTTCTGACTTCGACCGAAAGATTGTGTGCCCGGCCGGCGACTTCTTTCCAGTGATCTAGAGTGAGGCTTAAAGGGGTGGTTACAGTCGGCCCCAGGGGTGTGGAGAAGGGGTGAGCGGTGAGGAGGAGGACAGGAAAGGAAGAGAAACACGGAATGAACAGACGCACACGAACGACAGGACTGGCGCGGCAGATTCAGATGGGAGCGGTCGCGAACCACGACCCTCCCCGAAGAGGAGGGAGTGCCGGGGCTCCGTTCCTCTTCCAGACCACTCCGGAGCCCGACTCCGGAGGGGGACCAGGGGTCTCGGGCACGTCTGCCTCCCCCGCTGGTCCAAATACAGAATACAGAGTACAGCGTCCTGCAGGCACAATACAGACCCGGCACAAAACAGACCCGGCCAGTCAGACAAACGGACGAGACAAATAGGACATTTAGCGAGCTCGGTCTTACGTCCTACCGGTTTTAGGATTGAGTCTGGGGCGTCTCAGATCCCGGACGAGCCCCCAAATGTTGGACCCTGGCTCACGGGTGCCAACGTGTCCCGGTGGACGCCCCAGAGACTCAGACCCCAGACAGGCAGATGCAGTTAGCAAGAGGGTTTATTGAACGTTTGCGCAAACGGGCTCTCCGCCTCCGAGGAGGAAAAGAGCCCCGATTAGCAATTACAGGGATCTTGTAAAGGCAAAAGGAAAGAAACCGCCTAAAGGCAAAAGAACCGCAGGAGTCGCATAGCATCCAGGTTGATTTCACAGAGGGTCAACATGAACCTATTCAGGGACATTCCAATCAGGGTGTGGGGGGAAATGGTTTTCTTATTGTAAACAGAATGCTTTTAGTTGCTAAAATTTCAGGAAGGCGCCTGGATGGGCTGCCTCTGGGTTAGGGCTGGCCCTACTTACAAGGGGGGGAAGTTTCTTCACTGTTAAAAGTATGTTTCTAATATTGAGATTGTTTAAAATTAGAAAAATTTGAAATAACCTAAACATCTTATAGTAGGGGCTTAAATGAAAGCTTTGGTTCACCCATGTATTAGAATACTATATAGTTGCTAAAGATACTATGAAAAAAATATTTAATGGGATGGAAAGATGTTCATTATATGTTAAATGAAAGAGGATAATATAAAACATATAGTATAACACCGTTTTTACACAATTAGGTATAGAAAGACATTGGAGGGCTATAAAGCTGCGCGTCAATTTCTTCTTTCCTGTGACACTATGGGTGGTTTAAATGTTAGTCCTTTTTTGCTTATTTTTTTTTTTCTAACGTGGTATTTTTGTAACTTAAAAAATTGTATGTCTTATATGTCTGGAGGTCTCTGGGATGCCGGTCATAATCTATTTCTTTTTTTTTTTAAATTTAATTTTATTTATCTATTCATGAGAGATACAGAGAGAGAGGCAGAGACACAGGCTGAGGGAGAAGCAGGCTCCTGCAGGGAGCCCCATGCGGGACTCCATCCCTGACCAGGATCATGCCCTGGGCCAAAGATAGACGCTCAACCGCTGAGCCACCCAGGCGTCCCGTGCTTCATAATCCACTTCTTGACCTCGATTGAGTTTACACTGGCCTTTGCTTTACATCATTTGTTAAAAAAATAAAATAAATAAATAAAATAGTTTAAAAATGTAAATGCTTCATAACCTTTCTTCTATAAAATGTGTGTTATATTTCACAATTTTGTATTTAACAAGCTGCACGTTTTAATTTTCAGTATCTTGCACGTAGTCCCAATAGCTCACAGCTGTCCCGTAATTTCGAAGCCAGGGTGACACGCGGCCGCCAACCTGGCGGCTGCACCCGCCTGGACGGCTTGGACTTCAAGCCCCAGCAAGCATTGCGGCCTGCACCTGGGAACTACGGGGTCCGAGACGGGGTGAGGGACTTACGGTCTTTTCCCTCCCAGAAGCCCGCGGGCGGCGAGGAGCACCGTCTGTGTAATGGCCGCGGGAACCGGGACGGCAAGCCCCGTTTCCGGCCCGGGCGTCGTACGTGACCTGGAGGCGTCACAGTCGAAGAAGCGGCCCGGCCGGGAAGGCGGGGAGGGCGCGCGGCGATCGGACGCGATGGCGGGAGGAGGCGGGAGCAGCGACGGCAGCGGGCGGGCGGCAGGCCGGCGGGCGTCCCGCAGCGGCGGGCGGGCTCGGCGGGGGCGCCAGGAGCCGGGGCTGGGGGGCGCCACGGAGCGGGGCGCGGGGGAGGCGCGGCTGGAGGAGGCGGTCAACCGCTGGGTGCTCAAGTTCTACTTCCACGAGGCGCTGCGGGCCTTTCGGGGTAGCCGGTACGGGGACTTCCGGCAGATCCGGGACATCATGCAGGGTGAGGGCCGGACCTGGGGACGGAGGCTGGCTGGGGGAGGGGCGCTGTGGGGCTCGGGGTCGGCGCTGGGGTCGCCGAGCCAACGCTGTCTTCTCCCCAGCTTTGCTCGTCAGGCCCTTGGGGAAGGAGCACACCGTGTCCCGGCTGCTGCGGGTTATGCAGTGTCTGTCGCGCATCGAAGAAGGAGAGAATTTAGGTACGGCGATTTTTTCTGTTCTTCTCGGGCTTTTTTTAGGGTTACATTGTTGTTTTCCAACTTACGGCCAGAACTGACGGATTCGGGGTTACGGTGCACTAGTTACGTTCCCATCACAGTGGTCTTTTTCTCAGTCTAGTTTTCTCCAGTTAAGGTTCTTGTAGCTGCTTTTCTATTTTTTATTTCCTCCCACCTGTTTCTTGCTTGCCCCAACTTTGCTGCGATCTAGTGAGTTATGCTAAGGCCAAATTTTCCCCCACAGTACAAGTTGTTTTTTTGGTTTTGTTTTGTTTTTAAATTGAACTTAAAACCTGTTTAGCAAAAACGGTCTCCAGTTTCTGATCGTTTGTATCTGAGGAGAATGTGCGTATCCTGAAATTTGAGATGCAAATGCATGTGTAAAAAAAAATTTTTTTTACCTGTTTTGGAAATTATTAAACAATAGTCACTGCGAATTCATTAGTTTGAATTTGAACTCTTAACGTCTTTATAAGTTTGTAGCCAGCATGTTAGCAAATTAAATGCAAATCTTACTATATTTACAGGTGTCTTTTTGGATAAACAACGTATTTTTGGACATGACGTTTCTGCTCCTTATAAAATAGCTTACAGTGAAAACTGTGTTCTTTGTCCTAGACTGTTCCTTTGATATGGAGGCTGAGCTCACACCGCTGGAATCAGCTATCAATGTGCTGGAGATGATTAAAACGGAATTTACACTGACAGAGGCAGTGGTCGAATCCAGTAGAAAACTGGTCAAGGAGGCTGTAAGGCTCTATTTTTACTTCTTTTTTCTTTTGACAAAAATCAGATGTCTTTGAGGATACGGTACTTATCTTTTCTGTGGGGATGGCAAGAGCATGTGAGCACACTCAAACATAGACACACAAACAGATGTTAAATCTCTTCAGCTGACCCCTTCCCAGGCCAGGCTTGGAAAGTGTTAATGGCAGGTACCTTGCTTTTGTGATTTTGGTTGTCTTCCTTGTGGCCTTGGCAAGAGAGTCTCAATACACAGGAAATGGGTTGGCACTGAAGACTGATATTTTGGAGGTTATTACACCATTCAAGGGCATTGTTAAAGGGCTAGAAGCAAGTGGCCTAGGTTTTGGTCATCCAAAGAGGATGCTTGGGGTCTTGGGAAATGTGGGGTAGACTTCGAGGAGGAACATTCCCTTTGAATAATCAGCCAGTTAGAAAGACAGTAATGGTAGAAGGCTGGAACAGCCAGTGTTCTTGACAAGGAAAAAGCTACTGGAGCGTCTAGGAATTTGGACTGTGTGTCATAGCTCACGTAGCTTCACATAGAAGAACTTATTTTTATTTAAAACATGACTGGCAGTGGGAACTAGTCAAAAAGCTTTTTCTTCTCAGTAACCAAGGGTGTGGAAGCAGATGTAGAGTTGGGGACTGAAGATGAGCAGCTCAGCCTTGCCTTGGTGGTAGAAAGTAAGGAAACTGGTAAGAAAAGAGCGCCTCCTAAAAAGATGGGATTTGACGTGGTGTTGGGAAGATGAAACTTTGCTTAGCAAGGAAGACTTTTTTTCCCTTAGCTATGTGCTGGATACTTGGGTACCCTGTTAGAAGAAAAACAGCCAGTATGTGTGAGGTGCAGATATTAATTCAGTTAAGGACCTTGGGCAGGAACTACTTTTGGTCTTGGAAAGAATGCTCAGATAATCCAAATCCCAAAGAGGAATAATTCCAAGAATAGATTTTTAGTATAGGTAGGTCAGGTTTGTGTTGGAGGGAAAATGCCAGGAAAGACATACTAGCAAAGGAGGAGAAATCTGTGCCTACTTTCAGAATAGCTGAGGATCTTTTGAGTGGGAAGAAATGGTATCATGGGGCGCTTGGCTGGCTCAGTTGGTAGAGCATGTGAGTTTTGATCACTGTGTTGTGAGTTTGAGCCCCTCGTTGGGTTTAGAGATTACATAAAAATAAAATCTTGAAAAAAATTGGGCAGGGAAGAAGTGGTACCATTTCAAAGTAATTCATGTAATTCCTGTTAACTAGGTAGCTGATTCAGAAGTGCAACTCCTTCAGAATACAAGAGCAATAGATTTGTCTCTGTCCCCTTTTCTGGAAGATTCTTTGTGGGATTTCATCTGTATATTTGTTATTTTATTATTAAGTTTATAGATCTCATTTGGGGTCCTTCCTTATGAAAAATTTGTTAGCAAAGTCTGAATTCTCTAAATTCTCTTAAAATAGTCAACTGTTCTCTTATGTTGACTCCCTTCTGCTTTTCCATTTTACAACACGTACCAGATTTCTTGTTATATACTTACTCTATTACTGTTATTGCTGGGTACCAAAGTACCCCCAAATCTAGCGGCTTAAACCAGTGTATACCATCTCTTATTTGTCAGGAATCTGATAGTGTTTCAGCTGAGTGATTCTGGCTGGAGGTCTCTCATGAGAATGTAGTCAAGTTGTCTGCTAGGGTTGCAATCATCTCAAGACTCAACTAGGGCTGAAGGATCTGTTCCCATGCTCACTCATGTAGTTGTTAGCAGGACATACTTCCTTGCAGGCTGTTGGTTGGAGTCTTCAGCTCCTTGCCTCTCCACAGAGGTGCTTACAACATGATAGTTTGCTTCCCCTAGAGTAAATGATCCAGAAGACCAAAAGCCCAAGACAAAAGCTCCAGTCTTTTATAACCTAATTTCAGAAGTGTCATTACTCCTGCCACATGCTGTTGGTCACACAGACCAGACCAACTATGGATTAGTGCATGGAATGTGACTATGTAGTGGGGTGGGGATCTTTGGGGACCATCTAGAGGCTGGCTACAATTACCTTGAACTCTTAGTTATTAAATGATACTGTATTACTTGTTTCTTCCATTTTTTTTTTTTAATTTTTCATTTAGAGTCATAGAAACTGTTAATGGTCATCTCTGGGAAAATACCATGAGGTATTTTAAGCTTTGTACAGTGTGTTACAACAGTTCATTTAAAAGTCTGTTAAGGGGGATCCCTGGGTGGCGCAGCGGTTTAGCGCCTGCCTTTGACCCAGGGCGCGATCCTGGAGACCCGGGATCTAATCCCACGTCGTGCTCCCAGTGCATGGAGCCTGCTTCTCCCTCTGCCTGTGTCTCTGCCTCTTCCTCTCTCTCATTCTATGTGACTATCATAAATAAATAAAAATTAAAAAAAAATAAAAGTCTGTTAAGCTTTTGTTAAAGTTTATCAAGTAAGTTGTTAAGTTAGAACTTTTGATCATATGGTGTAGGGATTTCTGCAAGTCTTTGGGACTCCTTCAGGAATCAAAACTATTTTCATAACAGTGCCAAAACATTAGTTGATTTTCAGTGCATTGACTTGGCACTAATGGTGCAAAAGTAACGATGGGTAGAATTGTTGGTGCCTTAACATGACCAAGGAAGTGGTAACGTATACTTGCTAGTCATTGTAGTCTTCATTGCCACAGACTTGCAGTTAAAAAATTAATAAAAGCCAGTTTCAATTAAGAATGTCTTTGATAAAGCAGTAAAATTAATTTTATTAAATCTAGACCTTTGAGCAAATATCTTTTCAGTATTGTGAGAGAAAGTAGGAGGTTTGCCTGAAGCATTTCTGCCACATAACAAAACATGATGGTTGTCTTCAGGAAGTCACTTGTTTGATGGTTTGAGTTGCATGCTGATCTAGTTGCTTTTTTAATGGAACACCTTTTTTTTACTTGAACTGACAAATTTTGTTATTTAGGCGTGGGCATTTGGCAGTCATTTTCTTGCAGAAGAGCAATGGGAACTTGTCACTTCAAATAAAACAATTGGTCGTATTTGCTGCCAATGATAAAACTCAAGCTTTCAAGTGAAAATTCAAATTCTGGCAAACTTGAATTGTGCTTGACAGCTTCCCAATACTTAGACTTTTTTGATAAGATTGATGGTGGTTATTAACAACTGTGATTTAAAAAATATTTTTTAATGAATGTGTCAATATTTGGAAGATCTACGTAACTCAGTAAATAAATATTTTCTAAATGGCCAATGCACTATATTACAAAATCATTCATGGGTAAAAGATCCGTTTACAATGCAAGTTTTTGTTTTTTAAGATTTTATTTATTTATTCATGAGAGACTCAGAGACACAGGCAGAGAGAGACACAGGCAGAGGGAGAAGCAGGCTCCATTCAGGGAGCCTGATGTGGGACTTGATCCCAGGACTCCAGGATCACACCCTGAGCCAAAGGCAGATGCTTGACCCCTGAGCCACCCAGGCATCCCTAGACTAAAAGATTTTAATGTAACAGATGATGGAAAGTTCCCTTGCCCAAGTTCGGTGTAGAGTCAAAAGAACATCCACAATTTTCTGAAAGGTTTATCAAAATACTCTTCCTTTTTCCAACTTCATATCTGTATGAGGCTGGATTTTTTAATATACTTTAACCATAACAACACATCACATCAATATGAATTGGGAAGCAGATATGAGAATCCAACTTTGTTCTATTAAGCCACATATTAAGGAGATTTGCAAAAACGTAAAATAAGACCAGCCTTCTCATTAAACTTTTGTCTTAGAAAATATAGTAATTTTTCATAAAAATGTTTTTTACATTAACCTCCAATGAGTTTATTTTTTAATGAATTAATAAATATTTTAAAGTTTTCTGTTTTAATTTTTTTTTAAGATTTTATTTATTTATTCATGAGAGACAAAGAGAGAGAGGCAGAGACATAAGCAGAGGGAGAAGCAGGCTCCCTGCGTGGGACTCAATCCCGGGTCTCCAGGATCGCACCCTGGGCTGAAGGCGGTGCTAAACCGCTGAGCCGCTTGGGCTACCCTCAGTTTTAAATTTCTAATATGGTGATATAACGCACATAAACAAAAGTTATTTGGGGTCCTCATTAACATTTAAAAGTATAAAGGAATCCTGAGACTAAAAACTTTTGAGAACTTACTCTGTAGGCTAAATTGGTTTTCTCTTTATAACTGAAAAATTCCTCAGGTTCCTTAGAGAACAGTAACATGTGTGGCATATTATCAGAAAGGCATTTATTTGTTGCTTATTGCTGTTCATCATTCTCTCCTGCACCTTTGGTAACAGCACCTCTTTTCTTTTGGGACCTTATCCTATTTAGGGGGCCTGGGTACATAAAACAGTCTCTAAGTACCTTAATTCTTAAAATAAAAAGCTTTGTCAGAGTTTTTTTTTAGCATTTCTGCTTCCCATAACAGCCTGATGTCTTTCTGAGTTTGCTTCTTTAGCCTTTCCTTCTGTGAGTTTTGGTTTTCTATGTGCTTTCTGCTGTTCCCCCCCACCCCCACCCCAACAGACCTATCTCACCTCTGTTGAAAATCAATGCTTGGAATTTCCTTTTTGTTTAATTTAGCTAGAGACCACTGCTATTGCTCACACCTTAAGAATCTTAACAGATGTATAAGAGAAGAAATTATACTTCTTTCTTAAAACTCTCAAATGAAAAAAAAAAAAAAAAGCAATAGTTCATCTCTTGGGGAAAAAAAAAAACTTTCCAGGAAATTAAAAATAGTTTTAAAAGATAAGCTCAGCACAAATGTTGGAGGCAGACTTTTAATTTAGAATTTGAAAGCATTCACATTTCCTTATTTCACAAATGAAATATAGTAGGACCTGGTTCTAATTCTGGAAAAGACAGAGTGAACATACTCTCTTCTGTCCTTCTTAATCAAATATAAATCCTAGACAGAACGTGTGGAGCAGCTGTATGAGGATTCATAAATGTAAATGGTAGTAAGCAGATGGGGAAGAAGACCAGAATTTGAAGATCC